AACAGTGGGACATTGGTTCCAAGGTATGATATAGGACGTGAGACAGGAACATTATTGATGGGTGACAGGGAATGATAGCAGCTGATAAGATCCGTCAAGAGGCGTCAGAAGGGGAGGGAGACCAAGTCCATAGTGCGGGACCCAGTAACAGTGGGGACATTGGTTTCAAGGTATGATATAGGACGTGAGACAGGAACATTATTGATGGGTGACAGGGAATGATAGCAGCTGATAGGATTTGATAAGGGGAGTTAGAATGGTAAGGTCGCCATACCATAACGTGGAACACAGCATCAGCTAGGCATTAATTTCAGAAAATGATATAGAGTTGGAGATGGGGACACGGCACGTGAGGTGATAACAGCTGATAGGGGCTGATAAGGAACGTTGCCAATGCTGTTCAGTCAAATTGCTGGAGCCTTTACACTACCAAATTATAGAGTTTTAGTGATAGGGACATTGATGACGGGTGACAGGATCTTATCAATTGATAAGAAAGGATAAGGGGCCATTATCATTACCTCTCTTATCACTATACCCCAAGTATCAGAGGCTCAGTGTGCATACTTTTCCTTTAGCCATCACTTCCCTGATAGCCCTAGAAGAATGAACTCATCCTACTATATAATGTCGATGTCGACGAGCGGGGGGGGGGGGGGGGGGGGTATGTAGTTCGCCTGAAACAGGAATCTCAGGGAAATTCGAGGAGAACCGAAAAACACTTCAACAAGCGGATCATTTATGTATTCTATGGGCGTCATGGCGCGGACTACACCGCTGCTGTAAATGGAAGCGTGCTGGGTTGTACGGGATCCTAAGCCTTGCTCTGTCTGTTACGATTCGATCACTACAGCGCCTTATGAGCAGCGCACTACCGAAAAGTTCCGTTAAAATTATGGAGCCGCCTGGCGAAGCCAGGCCAGCTCGGCGAAGCCGAGCTCAAGAGAAGGAGGAGAGCACGGCGTGAGCCGTGCGATCCGACTGGTATATATATTTCTCAAAAAAGCTGCAGAAGGGATCACTCCTGCTCTTACACTCCTCTTCAACAGGATACTCTTGAAAGGGACAGTACCGGAAATCTGGCGCTTGGGTCTTGTTAGGCCGATATTCAAAAAAGGTAGTAAGAATGATTTCAAAAACTACAGGCCCGTATGTCTAACCTCTTCAGTTAGCAAGGTAATGGAACGGATTGTGTGTGAGCAAATTAGGAAATTTCTTCTGTGTAAAAATCTTTTGTCGCCTTGCCAGCATGGTTTCCTCCCCAAAAGGTCTACGGCCTCAGCGCTTCTCTCTAGTGTCCCAGCTTGGCAGTACACCATTGATAGAAAAGAATCTGTATTCGCTGTCTACATAGATTTCTCCAAAGCCTTTGATTCCATTCCTTTATGTCACTTGTTTTCCAAATTAAAAAGCTTTGGACTTACGGGATGTCTTTTCGATTTTTTGAAGGCGTTTCTTTCTGATAGGCATCAGAGGGTTGTGATTAACGGAACTTGCTCTAGATTATACCGAACGGAGAGTGGTGTTCCTCAAGGATCTTGTTTAGGTCCACTGATGTTTATTATGTACATTAATGATTTGCCAGGATGTATTCCATCAGGTGTGCAATGTTCCATGTATGCGGACGATGTCAAGGTGTACTGCACAGGGAAACCTGTCCTAATGCAAGCTGCTATTGATGCCATAGCAGATTGGGCTAAAAAATGGGGACTTGCAGTTTCTCCGGAGAAAACGGTTGCCCTCCGACTGGGTTCCAACTGCCCCTCGTCTCCCAAATTTTCATTCGAGGGTGTTGAGCTAAAGGAACCGGATGCAATCAAGGACTTGGGCATTTTATATTCCAAGTCTTTATCTTTTAATGATTATATTACCAAAGCAGTGCATATGGCACAATGCAGGGCGAATCTTAAGAGCATTCTCGTCGCGAAATATGAAAACTTTGTTTCAGCTTTTTGCTGCATATGTGCGCCCCACCCTTGAGTATTGTCCCATGTTATGGAGCCCTCATACTCGTCATATGGTTGAACTTATTGAGAGTGTTCAGTCCAAATTTACTGAGAAAATTTTCGCCCGTGGAGGCATGTTTCACATTTCGTATAAAGACAGGCTCAAATATCTGGAGAAGACTCTCTTGAGATGAGAAGAAAGCTATACGACTACGACTTTGTTTACAAGCTTAGTGTTGGCTCTATAGATTTGGATTTCGACCTCTTGTTTACAAAATCTTCAACAATTGGCCGTACTAGGGGGCACAACTTTAGGATAATGAGAGAGAAAACAAGATCAACTGAGTTTCGAAATTCTTTTACCCAAAGAGTTATTACTTTCTGGAACGATTTACCGGTCGATGTTGTTAACTCGAGCTCCTCTAAGGAACTTCAGGAGCAAAGTTAGGCGAATTATGATATCTCAGGGCTGGTTCTGAGGACAGAAACTAAACCATACTAAACTTAAACTGATCGAGAAGCGATTTCGCGGTGGATATGAATGTTTCAAAACTCTTTTGTATCCTTATCTGAATGATATTTTTCAGCTCATAGCTTGTGGTATTTGTATTTTGCCTGTTTAATGTACATCCTCATGCCACTGGATTTTTTCATCAATCTGCGGCAAGTGGAGTTGGATCTCAGCTAAGTCAGCAAAGTTGGCGGACCTACTAATGTTGGTATCCGGAGTTCCTACAAGAGTATCCATGGACTTCAGGAAAGGGAAATCAGGAAAGGGAAAAAAGCCTTCGTGGATTTCGTGGATTCTCGACCACCCAGTTTTTTCTTTGATGGGATTTCTCGACTGGTGTCACATTGGCAAAAGTGTGCTGATTCGAACGGTGCTTATTTCGATTAAATCCGATGAGTATTAAGAAAGTTATGATCGTTTAAAGTGAAACACTCAAAACGCTGAGAACTTCCCTGACAACCTAATACTTACGAACTGCAACAAAAGCAGGGCCACACAATTCCCTACAACAATTGGTTTTGATTGCGGAAGATATTCACATCGGAAGAGCCCGGGGTACAGCATCGTTGTGCGAAACCCATAGGCGAGGGGGTCGTACTTGGCCGCTGGGGAGGGGGGGTCGTAATCTCAAGGGTCACTCAGAGCCGGGCAATGCTTCGACATTTCAGTTGATAGTGGGAGTGGAGCTATGGAAGTCAAGATGTTAAAAAATGAAAATTATTATGAGTGTATTCTTTACAGATTTAACTGCTACGTTTAACAGCCCTCTTTTCATGCGAAATCCCAAAAATGGGTTCGTACTTGGCCGCGGGGGACGTGGGGAGTATCGCAAAAGTAGGCTCGCTAGGCATCAAACAGTACAAAAGTGTCATTGCTAAGTTTGATGGAACGGACGGAAAGCTGCAGAAGACCCGGATGTAAGGAGGACTACAAAATAATAAAAAATTAGCAATATAGCAAGAATAGCAAGAATAAATAAATAAATATCAATTAATAGCATGAACTCGTAAGTACGTAGATGACTAAATAATACGTCTCAAACAGATTCGTGCGTATTGTCCTTTCCAAACCCTAAACAAACATCTGCTTGCATAGGTAAAAGCACCTGAAATCAGAATTTACACCTTTCCACCACCTCTGCGTAGGAGCGTAATGCACGGCGCACACTCGGACCAAATCGATCAGTGATAGCCGAGCTCCTCTTTCACTCATTTGAAGGGAAATATGTGTTTTGGAGTTTTCGAAGGTGTATCCTCACAATGGCACAGAAGGAGTCGATTTTTCGGGTGGGTCAGAGGGTAGCGCGTCTGTGACCCATCTAAAATATCTCCTGAACTAGTGGGTCTTCAGAAAAACTGTAAAGCTTATTGGAAAGAGAAAAGATAGGGCGGTTTCAAGACGATTTTAATCCTGATGAAATTGCGTTCGAAATAAGTAATCCTCGTGTGAAGCATAAAAACCCGCTTGCCATTTACCCCTAGCCGATCCGAAACCCATCCGAAATATTTCACGAACGGGGAAACATTCAGATTGCAACTGGGTAGAAAACGCAACAGTAGGAACATTCCCGTTGCATGCTGCTAACCATTCATCAAAAGCCGCGCCCCTCAAAGAGATATAACCCCCGAAAAGACCCCAGGACGTTGGCAGGCCCAACAACCGCGCTCCAATGACGTTTTTCCAATGAAAGCGGTCGCAACCTTGCGATCGATAATAGCCAAGTATAGAACGATTTACTGCCGCCTGGTTATCCTTTTTTCATTTGGCTCCGCATTTTTTTGTATTTTTCATGTTTCGCTTTGTTGTGTCGTGCATGTTTTCATGATTTCCCCGTCACCATTCATTGAATGCACATCTGGGGCCTGACACGCTGACCTTGGGGCTTTTTTTCACCAATTTCAGCTTATCAATGATCACCATTAGTCGCTGTTTCGATTGTGTTCCTTGTTGCATGTCATACATAGTTGTCGAACGAGGAGTTTTATTTTGAATCCTAAGACAAAATTGTAGGTAATGCGAGGCTGTTGTTCAGCCTCATATTGCATGAGGCTGAAACAGCCTTTTATTGCCTGGATTTTAGAGCAGAGTCCGCCTTTCGAAAATCCAGATTCCATTTCAGGAAGCCATTTGTGGTGAACATGCATCTGGTTGTCAGTTAGAGCAGGAGGGGGGGTCGTATCTGGACCCTCTTCGAGGGGGGGGGGGGGGGAGGTCGTACTCACACCGCCATTTCGCACATCCCCTGACTGTGGTTATGCAGGCAGGGCAAGAGCCCCTTTAGCAACGAGACAGATGATAGAATGTGACCAGGTGTGAAAAGGTCTTTCAAAAAAAGATCAGCACAAATAACAAAATCTCACGTGCAAGCTTTTGCCACTGACTAATAAAATCAAAAAAAGGAAAAAAACGTCTAATTGATTTCTGCTGTAGAGGTGACAGCCGACAAAATGACAACAGACCTACGCGCTTATTGTACGCCACATTATGGGGAGTGCGCTACCTAGAGGTTACAGGTAATGAGAGACAAGTACGCTTAGCACTCATTATGCTGGAGGAAAAGCTAAGTAACTCGTCACCTAATGGGAAATGATGACTGCTTGGACGGATAATCGAGAAATTACCATCAATATAAAAGATTCCATGCAAATTGTAGCACAGTGCTTCAATTAGAAACACAGCAAGTCTCATAATATTCGAAGGAAATAAACCTGGTGCTGGATGTTCGCTGTCATGGACGTGTAGTTTGCTGAAGTACCCCATTTTTGGACGAGTTACGTTGAGCTTCTCTTCGATGCAGGCGTCAAGCACTTTTTGTTCGTCGTGACATCTGATTTGACCACAGTTAGATTTTTTCTACATTATATCTACAGATTCGAGAGACATCAAACTTTTGGAGAGCAGGAGGGGTTAAGGAGCTGCACAGAAGTGCACGGAACAGTCTGCCATAAAAGACTATCCATTTGAAAACATTAGAAAGATTATAGAAGGAGTAAACGTACGGAAAATGAAATCGTGGCGACAGCAGATAATGGGCGATGAAGCGAGCTATCTCCGCTGCGATCACGACTGCCCCTCCCCCAAATGATGTTGTTGTACAGGAACCCGGATAGGCGGCTTTGATTAATGGTCTGCTAGCGACTGTTCCATTCATCTTAACTAATTGTGACCTAATTTAGTGTATAGCCATCCTTCGGCTGTTCCCGCAGGGCATCGGTAAAGAGCCACTCATAACCGGTTAATCTGAGAGGACCCGCTCATACCCCTAAAATCCTGGTAAGGTGAGGGGCATACACATAATCGAAAGTCCGACAATCAGACAACTGGAGATCGGAGAATATAGAAAAGAGATTGATACAGATCGGTCGCGGGATAAGTGGAAATATGTTATCAACACGAAAAACAAGGCGAACCATCGACAGTAGTCAATATTTCGCGGGGATTTTTGATTCTCAAGGTGGGCACAACATAACTCAACGCTGTTTCCTTTCTGTGAGATTTTGATGCGTATTTGACGTATCACGCCATCAATACGAAATTTTGACAATAAACGACACAATTCGCGAACATTTGCACTTCATAAATATCATCTTAAAGAGGAAATTTTGTTTGTAATGAACTGACAGCTACTGTGAAAAGTAAAAGTATCAATAAATTTTAGCAGAAAAATGTGCTTGTTGTTTCTGGATCATATTAGCATGAAACATCGAAAATGTGTAAGTTACATCAACAGAGAATACAGACATTGTGAGATGATTCGAATGACAAAACATCTAGTTTCTGCGGTAAATGCTGCTCCTTCATGTGACCTGCTAAAGAAGGCGACTCATCCCTCTTTCCCGTTCCACAAACCCTGCACGAAACGAGAAAAACGAGAAGTGCCAGAAAAGATAGCGAAAACACAAGCTTCAGTGCAGTAAAAAAAGCAAATGAACTTACTTGCTTATGTAAAGCTTAGCGCTGCTCTGATCAATGCAGTTAGCAAGTTTTTCGGTCTCCTGCGCACAGGTTTTCTTCAGTGACTGGAGGAATTTGACCCCACAGGCGGTCACAGCAGCGCCTAGAGGAAAGAAAAGTAAAACAGATTGAGTAAAGGTATTGAAGGAGTTAACACATTGGCGACAGCGCCCTTTTTCGCGTGTCTGCCGCGTGGGACAAAGCAGTTTTTCCCTATTTTTGACGAGTGCGCATAAATGCTAGGGCTTTTATGCACCAAAACAATTGAAGAATGATAAGAATTCATTGCAGAAGCTAGTAAAACTTCGCTACTTTCCATTACTTCCAAGATAAACCCGAAATTTCCATAGAATTCTCCCGCCTCATTCACGTGGGACGTGGAAATAGGGTCGCAAAAAAGGAATAATTTCGCGGCAGAGGTGGTAAATCGGATTCGATCCAGATCTGCTATTGTTGAAAGTTACTTTATCCCATTAGCTATCTGCTTGTGGAGCTCCAGTTCTGCAAAAACAATAATTGCTTTTTTCCTAAGGAAATCACTTTCATTTGACTCCTTGGTAAATACTCTCAATGACACAACTGCATTGTTTACACCTACTGCATATTATACAATGCCTTCCTCTATAATATGTAGCTGTTAAAAATTTGAAACGTATTCAAATTGGTCTTTTACACATGCCGCATCCCAGCAGTGGGACGCAATGTCCCACGCGGCAAAAAAGGTGCGTCCCAGCAGTGGGACGCAATGTCGCCAACGTGTTAATGAAGGAAATAAAATGTTTGTTTGTTAAAATTCCAGAACACGCCTGCTAAGTAGGCTGAGTATAGAGCCTTTTGTCGCTCGATGTGAAAAAATGATCCCAGTATGCTGGAGCGATGAACAAATTCAATACTTATGACTATTAGGGTAAAACGAAGAAAGGAGCTGTGGTGCAGCACACGTTATTTGTAGCACCACGACTCCAATAGGCAACGCGCAAGCAGCATTTCTCGAGTGTGGAAGGCACGGGATCCAATAACGGTCACATTACTTTTCCCGAGCCTTGGATCATAGACTCACTGAATAGGTATCCCGCTCCTTCAAGATACATTTGACTGTAGTTCAGAAAACCAGTAAAGGCTGGAACTAAACCATAGAACTGAAACGCTACCTGAAGATTTCCTTTCTTCTCCTGGGAATTTTTCTTAATTTCTATGAAGAGTATCGTACTGTGGAAATGGCGGCAACCTTGCGCGTATCCTAACAGACGAAAACTACTTAAGAAAGTCCATCTTATGATCAAGGAGATCAGCAATATAGACCCGAATACTACGCATATTAGCACATTCAGTAAATTGAAGATATCGAACGAAACTGAGGTAAACATTTCAGGCGCCTTGCATTTATAGTGGATGTGCTTGCGTGTGCTGTGTGTGTTGTTTGTTGTGTGGTGTACATGCAGAATGTGTGTCGGTGTGTGTGTGGTGTGTGTGGTGTTGTGTGTGGTTGTGTTGTGTATATGTGTGACTGTGTGTATGGGTGTGAGTTTGGGTGTATGTGTGTATGTGTATGTGTATGTGTATGTGTATGTGTTATTGTGTATAGTTATGTGTATGTGCTATGTGTGTGACAAGAGTGAAGTGTGTGCGGTGCGTGTTTTGTGTGTGAGTGTGGGTGTGGATTGTGTGTGTGTGTGTGTGGTGCTGTTTGTGTGTAGGTGTGCGTCGCATGGATGCGGTGTGTGTGTTGTGCAGTGGTGCTGTGTGTGTGTGGTGTGTGTGTGGATAAAGTGTGTGTGTGTGTCTCATCGTGTGTGTGTGTGTGTGTGTGTGTGTGTGTGTGTGTGTGTGTGTGTGTGTGTGTGTGTGTGTGTGGTTAACAAAACTTTATAGTGGGTATGACTTATGATAGTGAATTTAATTCTATTTCTATCTTCCCGATAGAAAAAGGTGCAAATGATAAGCTATGAGGTTCCACAAATTCGGAAATAGAAAAATGCAATCAAGAGAGTACTGAGTTTTCGGTTCAGTGCATGAAATGATGCTATAAACGCGGTGATTGAACGTAATTGATCGAGCGTAAAATGGCCACACTGAGCCAAAACAACGTCAGTTAGCAATGGAAAGCCGCGAGCAATTTCTAGTTTGTGCGCGCCACAAGGCTCATCTATACTGGCATACTTGTTGAAGATGCACCTCTGTAGGGAAGTAATCAAACGCGGTTCAAAGAAGGAAGAAATGGAGGAGGATCTTAGAAAGGCAAATAAGACAACTGAAGAAAAACAAGTACTGTCTAGTAGCACATGTTTAGGGAAAAAAGAATGACAATTGGAGTAGACTTTGTTGGGAACACAAACTGGAACTGGAACACATACTTAACCAGCGAGCTTTGAATCTATAAATTTTCGAACACTTTGCAGCAGCAATTAATATCATGAAAACGAGCTTCAAAACCGCTCTCGATTTTAAAAATGGGAAGAATTTATAAACGGACCTTCTTTAAGAGTTGCACGAGGATCTTGAAGTTCTTTGCGTCGAAGCATGAACTCCTGGAATAGAGGAATCTGGGAATCATCGAGTATTCTAAAAGATACCCACGAAATGTATTTTATTTATCAACACTATTACGACTACTACACGTTTCGATTAAACTGTTGCAGTAGTGCTGATTCTTAGCCTCTACTGTTTCCAAAGGTCGTCTTTCACAAGTCACTTTGAGAGCTTCAGCTCAAGGAGAGGGAGGGGAGGTTGGACTAAGCGCGTTGAAAGCCTGAAATCTTCACTAGATGGCTTTCTTTGAATGAGGATGTAGCAGCAACTCAACAACCAGAGTTCCAACTCCTCTTCTGCTTCCAAGGATCATCCAGAAACGCAGAATCGTGTTTGAGAAACCTTACAGAATTAAACGAGGTAGAGAGAAATTTAAAAATCAAAGGCGTCCCAACACAACGAAAAATCAACAAAACTGATTTATCAATGAATAAGACAAAAAAGATGGAAAAAGAAAACGTACGTTAATTTCATTTTCACAATGCATCGCCATATATGGAGCAACAGCTTTGAGCCACGGTGTGGACAGAGTGATCTCCTGAGGAACGGTGAGTTCCTCATCATTCGGCATCTTCACATCCTTTGTAAGAGCCATGGCAGTTACCTGACAACGAAAATATCACTGAAAAATTGAAAAACTAGCACGAGGCGTGGCGTTTTTTTCGAAAATCAAGTTTAGTTTAAGTTTATAGCACGAACTTTGGAGCGCGGAAGTTCCGTACATTTTAAGTCCTCCACGCAGCTGTATTATATATTTTTTCCCCTCCATCATATTTCTCGCAACTTTTTGTGCAGTTCTCCACTGAACAGTTTCGTCCACCACTACTTCAAGAGGCAAGGCGAAGGCTACAATAAGACTGCGAAAAGATTTCGCGAAATCCGCAGAGTTTTTGCGCGGTATCAGTGGAAAAAGTGTGTGTGTGTGTGTGTGTGTGTGTTATAAGTGAGCGCGAAAAAAAGGAAAAAGTAACAATCCTGAACGAGGCCCCCTCGCTTTTTGCTCATTTCTATCCTGATTCAGAAAAGAGAATAGAAAAGAAAGGCCATTAGGTTTCACCCACCTTTCCTCGAGTCAAAACAAACTCTGGTACCTGAATCAATTGCAATTAAAAGAAAAAAAAACAGGAAATTAAGCCAACTTCCTCTAAAAGCACTCTGAGCGGTCCAAGCAAAATTGCTGGGGCGCGCTCTGACGCGTATTCGAGTAAACTGAGAAGAAGATAAATATTCGATATTCGAGTAAACCGAGAAGAAGATAAATATTCGATATTCGAATAAACCGAGAAGAAGATAAACACGAATGAGTAAATACGAACGAGAGCAAACCAGCCGAAATCAGCTGATTAAAGGCCGAGGTACCGGGGAGGGATTCTGGGCAGGACCTCCAGCCGCAAGGTGGTTGCAGGTGGTTTGATTGGAGCGCGGATTTTCAGGCAAAGTGGGGTGTCTTTAAAGGACCATAACTTCCGTAATAGCGGACCTTTGGGAAAAAGAAGAAA